CACAGTTAGTTTATCCATCCACCCACCAAGGTGTGACTTCCGAGGTTTGGTCGACTATAAATAAACAAGTTCTAAATATTTTTGTTGTTTTCATGGAAGTTGTCACGGAAGCCGCATTTTTCAAAAAGATACTTCTTTATAGCATTTTTCTTCATACTGAGATACTTCTATATATGTATATTCAAGAACACTTTCGTTTGAAATAGAGGTGCATGGTTTATGCCCTTTTGCAAATACCAGTTACAATACAAGGAAGTGAAACCCTGATCTGTGTTGTTTTATTAATACTTACAAATTTTTATATGCACCCAAAGGGGCATTAGTTTTTTGTTATTTTTTTTTTTGTAATTTTTTATAAACATTCTCTTTGCAGTTCTTTCCTTCGTCGCTGCACGGGCTTTTCTCTAGTTGCAGGGAGAGGGGGCTGCTCTCGAGTTGTGAGGTGTGGGCTTCTCATTGCGGTAGCTTCTCTAGTTTTGGAGCACGGTCTGTAGGTTGCATGGGCTGCAAGAGTTGTGGCTCCAGGGTTTTAGGGTGCAGGCTCAGTAGTGTGGTACACGGTCTTTGTCGCCCCTCGGCATGCGGGATCTTCTTGGATCAGGGATCAAACCCAAGTTTGATCCCAGGCCAGGGATCCAAGGCATTGACCAGCAGATTCTTTCCCAACAAGCCACCAGGAAAGGCCCCCAAAGGGGCCCTCTTCCTTCAGAGTGTATGCCGCTGCTGCTGCTAAGTCATGTCAGTCGTGTCCGACTCTGTGACCCCATAGACGGCAGCCCACCAGGCTCCCCCATCCCTGGGATTCTCCAGGCAAGAATACTGGAGTGGGTTGCCATTTCCTTCTCCGTTGGAGTGTACGTGGGGGTTATATCTCTGCCTTGTTGCTTCTTCCTGTGTGAGCTCATTAAACTAATTAGCATTCGCAAAGTGATTAGCCTTAAATTAGTGTCAGAGTCCAATTACCCCAATCCCGGGGGGGGGGGGCACAGGTGGTTTGCGGAGCTGAACCAAAGCACAGCCCAATAAATGTTTGCCTGGCAGTGACTGATCACGGGAGAAAACTCGCTGAAACAGTCCTGCACGTTTTATCCCTTGATCCTGAGGACGACATTCATCTCCGCGGCGCGGCTTCCAGGAATGTTTACCGTATGGAATGAAGCATTGAGAGAGATTGAACGGCCTCTAGCCCGTGGCGTTGCAATCAGATAGCAAAAATATGTCTGGTGACAGATGAGTTGGATGTTGCTTTTGCTTTGGAAATCATGTCTGCCACCTCCACGGAGGGTGGACTCTGTAGCTTTTTAGCTCCCTTTTTTGGACGAAATCAGTGAGGGTGCAGCCCCAGGGTGGAGGGCCTGACTCTACGGCGGGGTGTGATCTGTCTGCTGGATAGGCTTACCCATATTCAGTTATTGTCTTTTTTAGTATTTATTTATTTGGCCAATTACTTATATTCAGTTATTGTCTTTTTAAAAAATATTTTTAAAAATTTATTTATTTGGCCGATTACCCATATTCAGTTACTGTCTTTTCAAAATATTTATTTATTTGGCCGATTACCCACATTTGGTCACTTCTTCTTCTTCTTTTTTTTCATATTTATTTACTTGGCTGAGTAGGATCTTAGTTGCCGCACGCGAGGTCACATGGGTCGGCTGATGCTCACTGTGGCCTGTGGGGGTCTCCCATTGTGACCTCTGAACTCTCAGTTGCGGCCAGTGGGCTCCAGTTCCCTCATCGGGGATGGAACCCGGGCCCCCTGCATCGGGACTGTGGAGTGTTGGCCACTGGGTGGTGGTGACTTAGTCGCTCAGGTGTGTCTGATTTTTCCACGACCCCACGGACTGCAGCCCACCAGGCTCCACTGTCCATGGGGATTCTCCAGGCAAGAATCCTGCAGTGGGTTGCCATTTCCTTCCTCCAGGAGACCTTCCCGACCCAGGAATCAAACCTGCGTCTCCTGCCTTGCAGGCGGATTCTTCACCACTGAGTCACTTAGCCCCTGGGCCACCAGGGAAGCCTCCTCAGTTCTTACTTCTGCTGCCAAGGATGCCTGGTGTCCTTGTAGAGTTCCCATTTGTGATAATCCTACACCGACGAACTGGACCTCACCCCAAAGTGTGGGTCCCCCATCAAGATGAGTGATCCTTGGGCCACACCAAGATGATATGGACAGGGTTGTAACTCCCACGTGACGAGACTTTCTGGACAGAGCAGGGTAGCTGCTAGGCCGGTGTGAAGATGGCTTGCGGAAGATGGGGAACAGGAGATGAGTAAGTCGTCGTGGGGGATAGAAGCCGGCTCCTGGATGTGGGTTCCTGCATGTAGGTAGGAGCTGGTACGGTTTGAACGCCCCCGTGGGCACTGAGGGAAGGAGCCCGTAGGCCTTCTTGTAAGCTTGTTGGGTGCAAATGGAAGAGGCAGACATGAGGTCTAAATAATCTTTGTGCTTGCTGTTTAGTTCCTAAGTCGTGTCTGTCTCTTTGCGACCCCATGGACTGCAGTCCGCCAGGCTGCTCTGTCTGTGGGATTCTCCCAGGCCAGAACACTGGAGTGGGTTGCCATTTCCTTCTCCAGGGGATCTTCCTGACCTAAGGATCGAACCCGTGTCTCCTCCATCGGCAGGCAGATTCTTTATGGCTTAGCCACCTGAGAAGGATTTAAAGCTCTTAGCAGACCTCAGAAAACCAACTCAGACCCTTTAATACCTCACAGTATAGCTATCTGGATGCATTGACCAAATGAAGCTAGCCTCATGGGACTATAAGGGATCTCGGTGGAAATTATAAGTTAGATACCTCTAGTCTGACCATCGTTTTCTTCTGATTTGACAGCAGATGAGTGAGTTGAGTGAAAGTTGCTCAGTTGTGTCCGACTTTCTGTGACCCCATGGACTATACAGTGCATGGAATTATCCAGGCCAGAATCCTGGAGTGGGTAGCCTTTCCCTTCTCCAGGGGCTCATCCCAACCCAGGGATCGAACCCAGGTCTCCCACATTGCAGGCGGATTCTTTACCAACTGACTTATGAGGGAAGCCCAGACAAGTGCTTCCTAATCAGAGAGGCTGTATTTCAGCCCATTCATTCATCTTCAGCTCACTTCAATTTTTTTTTTCTTATGAAAAATTTGAGGTATAAAGAGAGAAAAGTGCAGTCCAGTGCCACGTGTCCTGGGTCCACCTCTACCAGGTAATGAAGTCATGTCTGATGTAGTTTCATCCCTGCTCTGTATTCACTTCCCATCTTCCTGGATGAATGTGATGACCAGAGAAGCTGTCATACCATGCCACCCACGAGTCTGTTCATCTGCTAACCTGTGCTGGCCTTGAGAGTCTGGGTTTTGGATTCACACTTCACTCTTTCTTTTGTGTCCGCCACTTCCTGGGTTTCCCCGGTGGCTCAGACAGGAGAGGATCTGCCTGCAATGCAGGAGACTCGGGTTTGATCCCCAGGTGGGGCAGATCCCCTGGAGAAGGGAAGGGCAACCCACTCCAGTACTCTTGCCTGGAGAATCCCATGGACAGAGGATCCTGGTGGGTTACAGTCCATAGGGTCGCAAAGAGTTGGACACGACTGAATGACAATCACTGTCTATCACTTTCTGCCCCTTCCTAACTGTGGAAAGTGTCTTGTTGGAGCACTGTGACCCTCAGCTGTGACATGGACCCACTGCTCTTCACTCGTAGGGTTCAGTATGGTGTCAACAGCAGAATGTGGAACCAAGTCCTTTGCAGACAAAGAGTGTTCATCAGACAGTGCCCATCATTCTCACTGTTGACGTTGGCATCATTATTATTTTGAAGGGTTGCCTTGTGCGTGTTGCACTTCCCAGGTGGTTCACTGGTAAAGAATCTGCCTGCAGTGAAGGAGACATGGGTTCAATCCCTGGGTTGGGAAGATCCTCTAGAGAAGGGAAGGGCAACCCACTCCAGTCTTCTTGCCTGGAGAATCGCATGGACAGAGGAGCCTGGCGGGGTACAGTCCATGGGGTCGCAAAGAATTGGACACCGCTTAGCGACTAAATAGCAACAACAGTATGTTAGGGTTAGTCTAGAACATGAAGTTCGGGGAAACAAGATGAGGACAAGAAAAAGGAAAGTGTGAGGAAAATAGATTTCTCCTGATGGGCAGTTTTAGACCTGGGTGTCTATGGTAAGTACTAGAAAGGTCCTTCATCTAAAAGTATCTGTAGAGATGTTTCCTCATATAAGACGACCACTGATGGTTTAGTTTTTTCCCAGTCGATGAGGAAAGCTAGGAGACTTCTTTTTCTTTAATTGGAGAATGATTGCTTTACAATGATGAGTTAGTTTGTACTGTACAACGTGTCAGCTGTCTGTATACATACATCCCCTTCCTCTTGAACTGCTCCCCACCCCCTCATCTGACTCCTCCAGGCAAATGGATTAAGAAGTCATGCTGCATATATATACAGTGGAATATTACTCAGGCATGAAAAAGGAACAAGATTGGGTCATTTGTAGTCATGTGGATGAACCTCGAGTCTCTCATACAGAGTAAAGTAATTTCAAAGGAGAAAAACAAAGATCATATTTTAACACATATTGATGGCATCTAGTAGACTTTTTCATGACCTCAAGACCAAGGCCAGCCGATGATTGCAGTAGTCTTCCCTCTGCCTGCTAGCATCTTCCTCCAAAGGGCTTATGATCCATGAGCCTGGTTCTTCTAGAATCCTTTATCGAGTCTCCCTGGAGGATCGCCCCACGATGCCTAGAGGTTCAAACGATGCTTACAGATGATACTTAATTCCACGACTCACCTTTCTCCTTTTCTCTGGCGAGTGCCCAGCCACTGTTGGTCCTTCTGGTTATGGCACATCCCGTGTTAGAATCCGCATGGGCGGGAGCACTCGGCGTTTAAGACTCTCTCCTCCTCAGCATCACCAATTCCCAGACGAGTGCACAAGGGCAAATGGCCTCTGTTTCTTTTGTAAAGATCGCGCTGTTTTAACCTGGAGTGTTTTCCTCCCCTCCAGGGCAGATCTTGGATGTCCTCGACAAGTTGAAACTGGCTGATAACACCCTGGTCTACTTCTCCTCGGATCAAGGAGCTCACATAGAAGAGGTGACCATCAAAGATGAAGTTCACGGAGGCAGTAACGGAATCTACAAAGGTAAGAAATGTGTTCGGGTGGGCAGTGCCCATGGTGTCATCTCTGGGCACCCCGGCTCAGCCCTCACTCACTTTCTTCTGGACCTTGGAGGACCTTAGTTGTGTTCTTTTTTTTTAATATGCATATTTATTTATGTATTTGGGCTTCCCCAGGTAGCTCAGTGGTAAAGAATCCATCTGCCAAACCGGAGACATGGGAGATGCGGATTCAATTCTTGGGTGGGGAAGATCCCCTGGAGGTGGAAATGGCAACCCACTCCAGTATTCTTGCCTGGAGAAATCCCACGGATAGACGAGCCCGATGGGCTACAGTCCATGGGGTCGCAAAGAGTCGGACACGACTGAACGACCAACACTTTAGCTTTTTCATATGATCTCTTTCTTAGTTGTGGCATGGGGGATCTACATCTCTGACCAGGAATCAAACCTGGGCCCCCTGCTTTGGGAGCACGCTTTCTTAGTCCCCACCCTGAACCACCAGCAAAGCCCTCCAGGAAATCTTTAGTAAAATGATCCAGCCAGCCCTCCTGTAGTCACTCTTATTTTCAAGTGGGGAGAAGTTAGAAGCTTATATTCCTATGTTAGATGATGAATTGCTTTTTTCTTGTTTCCATGATGTTATGGGCTGTGTGCAAAAAGTTGTTTTTGTTATTTCAATAGATGGTAGCCTCTCTTGAGATGCAGTCACAGACTGAATTTCACGTGCTAGCCCCCCCAACCCCCAGCATCCATTCATTCCCCTGAAGAGGGTCCTTTAGGTTCCAAAGCAGCTTAGCGGCTGTGCTGAGCTGTGTACATAAATCACAGTAATAGAACTGGCGAGCAGGTGATGCATTATTTAAGAAACTCACACACACGGTGGGACGGAGCCCCCGTTTGGGGACAGAGGACCCCCAGCCGATGACTCTGAGAAAGCCGGATGGAGCAGAGAAGGAGGAGGGTGTACTGGGATTTCGTGATGCTAGCTGAGTGTTCCGAAACATAAGTGGATGGTGAGGCTGGGTCAGAAAGAGAGGGTCCAAGGTCTGAGAGATGCCTGCGGGCTTGCGGTTTTCATACAGTCTTCAAGGCGTGCTCACTGCCGCCCCGTTTTCTTTCTCACCTGGACGATTATTGCTTTACAATGCTGTGTTGGTGTCCGCCACGCATCAGCACGAGCCAGCCACAGGCGTACAGGCGTCCCCTCCTGTTAGACCTCCCTCCCACCCCATCCCACCCACCGAGGTGGACACAGAGCAGTGGCTTGGGCTCCCCGAGTCACAGAGCAAGTTCCTATCTATTTTAAACACCGTAGTGTGTATGTTTCTATGCTGTTCTCACAAATCATCCCACCCTCTCCTTCCCCCACAGTGTCCACAAGCCTGTTCTCTGTTGCTGCTCTGCAAATAGGTTCATCAGTACCATCTTTCTAGATCCCATATACGTGTGTTAATATATTTATCTTTTCCTTTCTGACTTACTTCCCTGGGCCCCATAGGCTCTAGCTTCACCCACCTCGTTAGGACCGACTCAGATGCCTTCTTTTCTTATAGTTGAGGACACATTCCACTGTGTATACATACCACGGTTTCTGTGTCCACTCATCTGTCGGTGGACATCTGGGCCGCTCCCACGTCCTAGCTATTGTCAAACGGGCTGCCGCCAACACTGTTGTTGTTCAGCTGCTGAGTCGTGTCCGACTGTTTGCGACCCCGTGGACCCCAGCACGCCGGGCTTCCCTGTCCTTCACTGTCTCCCAGGGTTTGCTCAAACTCATGTCCATTGAGCTGGTGATGCCATCCAACCATCTCATCCTCTGTCGCCTTCTTCTCCTCCTGCCCTCAGTTCTTCCCAGCATCAGGGTCTTCTTTTCCAGTGAGTCAGCTCTTTGCCTCAGGTGGCCAAAGTCTTGACGCTTCGGCATCAGTTCTTCCGATGAATATTCAGGCTTGGTTTCCTTTAGGATGGACTGGTTTGATCTCCTTGCCGTCCAAGGGACTCTCAAGACACTAGGGGTACATGCATCTCTTTCAGTTGTGGTTTTCTCAGGGTATATGTCCAGTAGGGGCCCTGTTGGGTTGTATGGTGGTTCAATTTCTAGTTTTTTAAGGAATCTCCATACTCTTCTCCGTAGTGGCTGTCATCAATTTACAGTTCCACCGACAGTGCAAGAGGGTTCTGTTTCGTCCACATCCTTCTCCAGCATTAGACGTATTGGATGTGTTAGAAATGCTTTTCTTGACTCCTAGAAATACCATGGATGTGTGACACTGTATTAATATTGCAGTCGCTACTCTATTGCAAAGCATTATCCCTTTGTCAAGTTTACTTGAAATCAAATTCACCTGAAACATGGTTACTATATCATGCTCTCAAAAAAAAATAAAGTAAGTAAAAGATATGACTTTCTTTTAACTATGGGAAATGGCAAAACAAAAGGTCAAGAACTTGTTTTTGATGACTTCTCAAGGTCAAGAGAGCTTGTTTTCTAAAGCTGTGAAGTCACATGCATTCCTGTGATCTGTGCAAACACAGGGGAATCACGCCATTTAGACTCATTGATCAAAAGAGCATCTTCTTCTGAACAATGCTGATTTCACATCTTAATCAGAACTGCTCAGAAAGATCTGTACTGTTTAAGCTCAGCAGTCCCTCTGTATTCCCCAGTCAGATCTGTCTCACTGGTCTACCTTGATAGAATGGCTGTGATCGAATCACTTTACCAGAGTTCAACAGCCAATCCCTTTTAAGATCAGAGGAACACTAGATCCTGCTGTAGTCTGCATTTAAAAAATTAATATTATGGGTTTGAGGGGATAGTGTCACTACTAGTCTTTGCTGTCATTCTCTTTTAAAACTGAAATATCGTTGGATTAGTGGAGGAGGGCATGGCACCCCTCTCCAGTCTTCTTGCCTGGGCAATCCCAGGACACAGGAGCCTGGCGGGCTACAGTCCATGGGGTCACAAAGAGTCAGCCACGCCAAAGCAGCTCAGCTCACACATAGTCGGTTTACAATCTTCTGTTAGCTTCAAGTGTATAGCAACATGATTCAGTTATACACATGTGTATATCTATTTTGTTTCAGATGGTTTTCCCTATAGATTAGTACTGAATATTTAGAGTGGAGTTCCCTGGCCTATATAGTAGGTCCTTGTTGGTTATCTATTTTATATATAGGAGTGTGTGCCTGTTAACCCCAAACTCCTAATTTATTCCTCCCCACCTTCCCTCTTTGGTAAACATAAGTTTCGTGTTTTATTTTTTTTTTTTAATATGTCTGTGAGTCCATTTCTGTTTCAAAGACAAGTTCATTTGTGCCATATTTTTAATTCCACATGTAAGTAATATCATATTTTGTTTGTCTCTCTCTGGCTTACTTCAGTTAATATGGTCATCTCTAGGTCGATCCAAGTTGGTGCAGATGGCATCATCTCATGCTTTTTTATGGCTGAGTAATATTCCATCGTACATATGTACCACATTTTGTTTATCCACTCACCTGTCGGTGCATATTTAGGTTGTTTACATGTCTTAGCTATTGCGAATAGTGCTGCTATGAACATAGGGGTACATATATCTTTAGTTTTCTCTGGATGTATGCCCAGGAGTTGGCTTGCTGGATCCTAGGATGGCTCTATTTTTAGTTTTTTAAGGAACCTCCAAGGCGGGAGGAGAAGGGGTTGACAGAGGATGAGATGGTTTGATGGCGTCACCCACTTGATGGACATGAGTTTGAGCAAGCTCTGGGAGTTGGTGATGGACAGGGAAGCCTGGCGTGCTACAGTCCATGGGGTCGCAAAGAGTCAGACACGACTGAGCAACTGAACTGAACTGAACTGAGTGCCGTTTTCCACAGTGGCTGCACCAGCTTTTATATTCCCACCAACAGTGCAGAAGGGTTCGCTTTACTTCCCACCCTGCCCAACACATAATATTTGTAAACTCATTTTCACCTTTCCCCTAAAGTATTTTCCCTTAGCTGGGGCCAGAATAACCTAAGATTCTCTTAGAGTTTAGAGTTTCCAGTCCCTTCCTCCTAGTTGAAAATTCCCCAAAGTCTAGGACTGAGAGCATCGTACTCCTGGCTCTCGCTTCGGTTTCGTTCCTCTCTAAAGTCAAGGTTACCCCCACCTGCCTTCTCCTCTGCCTAAAGGCAGGTAATAAATGCCAGTGGGGTGGGCGGATTAACTCTGTCGATAGCGTCTGCAGAAATATGGGTTGGCAGGGGTGGGGGCTGAAAATCACATTTTCGTGTGTCCCAGAGAGGAGGCTTTCCAAACTTCCTGAATCCCGGATGGAAGGTCCTGCAGTTGCTGAATGTTGACGGGCACATTCCACAAGGAGGTGATGGACTCTTTGCCTCTGATTTCTTGGTCCAGACTGCTTCTGAGTAGCTTCTTAGGTAGAAGTCACCGAGTTTGGCATCTCTTTGCCTCATACAGTCACACAGCTTTCAGAGCAATGGATGCTTTCATTGGGGGAAAAAAATAAGAGCAAGAAGCTCTGGTAGTTTGTTGGGAAGTGGTTACATTCAGGTTCATCATTCAGTCCGTGGACTGTAGCCTTCCAGGCTCCTCTGTCCGTGGGGATTCTCCAGGCCAGAGTACTGGAGTGGGTTGCTATTTCCTCCTCCAGGGGATCTTCCCCAGCCAGGGATTGAACCTGGGTTTCCTGCATTGTAGGCAGAGTCTTTACTGTCTGAGCCACCAGGGAAATCCCATTCAGATTTTGGCAAATAGTTTCATCAGCTTCCTGAGAGTGGGCAGCGCTGGCCGGTCTCGCTGCTGGCAGGACTTGTGTGCTAGGAGTTCCCTGGGATTTTCCTCTTTGAAAGAAGCTCATATGTTATCCCCACTTAGCAGTTCACTCCTTCAGTTAAATTCCACTGACAAGAGTGCATTTATTGAGTCCTCACAGTACGCTAGGCACGGGGCAGCTTCTAAGACATAACGGCAATGAATGCAGGGTCTCCGACCGCAAGTAACTCCTATTTTTCTGTTGAGATGGAGCTCTGAGGACA